TAATGAACAAGGAAGTAATTGCCAGATTGGAACCTATATATTGGTTCCAACTTTGCAGTTTACATGTAGGTCACTGTCACATACACTGTTTTTTGTTTGGATCTAGTGTACTATATACTGCTTGTAGCTCTCAATTCAGAGTAAGGTCATGTGCCTACTAGTGTAATGTATCCTGATCTCTAGACAAGTTCACTATTTTGTTATATTGAGGTTGTAATAGTTTTATCCTGATATATTCAGATGACCTGTGTACTTTCTCAACAGACTAAATGATTATGAAAAGCAAAAATAAAAACTGAATATTTCATAATTAGTTGAACTCGCTACCATTGTTCACTTCACACAATCAAAATTAAAATGTAATGTTTCCATTGGTAACTACAATGTTTTTTCATTATTTATTATTTCTTCAACATAAATTACACAATTCCGGGCTCAACGATGACGTCAGAAGGAATGACCATATATAGAACGTCGGTCAAATTTGGCCAACGAACACTGATTGGCGCGGTGAGTTCACAGGTTTATTTTTGTTTGAAAGAGTGAAGACAAAGCTCTCTTTTAAGAAGTGAAGTCAAACAAATGCAAAGGGTAACGATTCTGTTGTCCTCTGAGCTATTTTTTCGCAAACATGTACATTTTCAAAAACATATGATACTGATACACGTTTGTGAGAAAGAATGTCGTGGGGAATCTGCCTACAATGCGTGAAATAAGGAAAAAGAAAAATCGTACCTTCGACGTTCCGACAAACCTTTTCGCTAACCAGCGTAATCAAGTGGATCCCCACTATATAGGATGTGTGATATAAATTAGAAAATGTACTGATCTCACTTGAGAATGAAGATATTCTAATTCTCATTGTCTGAATTTAAAAATGTTTAAATAATATGCAGTAACTGTTTCAGAGAAAAATGTCATATTTGTTAATTTTAATGATTCTTCATGTTTTTGGGGAAATCATGTTTTACTGTTCCAGAAATGAAGAGGAGTTCTATGAAAGCCATGACACTGTAGATAAAGTTATACCCTTAACAAGAGCATACCAAAGTTTTCCTTATCTTAGCATTAAGCATTATATAGGATCACAAATACATTGCAAATATGAAAGTCAGAAAAACCTGTATACAGCTAGCTGTAGCATACTTTGTTCTGTTGGCTGGGATTAAATTTCAAATAATAAACATGACCGAGATTTGGTGTCAGACAAGTCCATACATACTAAAGAAATACATGTACATTAACTGACTTATTACCGCCTTTTAAAAGACTGAAAGACACTCCACCCTTATACCCCTATAGAATACTCCCCCACAGACTACCACCACCACCCCCCTATTATTAACCCCCCCCCTTCATAATGCCTTTGCAAATACCCCCCCCCAGAATATTCCATGGTCAATACCCCCCCCCCCAGAATTTTTTCGGTCTCCTACCCCCCCCCCCCAGAATTTTTCGGTCAACACCCCCCCCCCAGAATTTTTTGGTCTCCTACCCCCCCCCCCAGAATTTTTCGGTCAACACCCCCCCCCCCCAGAATTTTGCATCCATACCCCACGTACATTTTTTAAATGGAATGGCCCAATAGTGAAAAATGAGCCTGGGCTTCGGATCTGAAAATTGAACACAACAATTGCAAAACTCTTACTTTGTAATTCTTCCTAAATTAGTTGTCTTTCGAATCTCTTATAATTGTAGTTACGGTGGGAGATGTCGTTTCCTATGCAAACAGAGCGTTTATTGCGTTTTTAGTGCAAATATTTCACAAAATTTCGCAACACGTGTTTGGAACAAAATGTCCAAGTCTCGCATTATCTCGTCAAAACAGAACTATCTATCGAGAGGTTATAATTATACGCGAGGTCAACAAAAAGTTCACCAAATTTACGTAATGAACTACTCATTACATTTTGTAAAGCTGACAGAAACCATATTTATTCAAGGTTTAAAGAGTGAATAGTTGTGCCGATGGTAAAAAATAGCAGGAATTTGGACAATATTTCGTATATTTTGTGTAAACGTAGGCGAACTATATTTTACAGGTGCTCGCTCAATGTTATGAGTAAATAGGACAGACCAAAACAATCCATACTTGGGATAAATTATCAGAAATTACGTCTGAAGAAAATTACGTCAAACCTTATGAATATTTAGTAATATTTGGATAAATTTGAGTTGAATATGATCACTATGGGTCCATGACTCATGACTCTGATTTTTAGCTTTGGTAAACAACACAATTTTCCTCGACAAAGGATTTAGTTGGCCCAAAGAAACAGCTGATAAATAAAAATGGCGTGAATTTTTTGACACAATGGAGAATTTGGGAGAATATGAGTACAGCAAGAAAGACCTCATTGGGCATGGGGCATTTGCAGTTGTATTCAAGGGAAGATATAAAGAGGTATGAATCCTTGCACTCAGCTATGTAGGTAACACATCTCCTGCTGATGTTTTCAAATTTTAGTTCACATGAATTCCGGTGGTTGGAATCCTTACAAAATATTTCATCATATCTTTTTATATAGCCTAGTGTGATATCAGCTAAAGATCAATAAATGTTTCCACGTTTGCTTATTGTGCCTCCTGTTATAAAATATTCTTGCATCGCAAATGCTGCAGCTGAGCCTAGTTTTGGGCTCGGGCCGTCATGAATTCTACACATCAAACTTGCCTTTTTCAAATTCTCCAACTTTATAAATCAACATGTCAAAACACACAAACTTCATCCATATGAAATGTGAGTTTGGTGAATCATTAATTTGCGACAATAGGCAATTGTAGTTGCTGTACAGCTTCACGCCTGTGAACCCTCTCCCTTATCTTCTTCACCTGCACATAGGGAGGGGGCTCCCAAGGAGTTGTAATAGAGGACATAGGGGTAATCTCGGACACAGGGCATTGTCGGACGATCTTCAATAATTATTTGTTTTATATGGTTTCTTTATTGAAACTTTGTATTAGACACATCATATTATCGATGTGGTGCTATATATTGTAAAAATTCTAAGAATGCCCAAGATTTTCACATGATACCAAGGGTTTGTCCGGGAATGCCCCATGGCCGAGAATGCCCCTATCTCCTCTACTACAATATGAAAATAAATGAAAAAACAGTTGTTGATCTGAAAATGTTTCATATCTTTTCAGAAGCCCAGCCAGTCTGTAGCCATCAAAAGTATAACAAAGAAGAATCTTGCAAAGTCACAGAATCTCCTCAGTAAAGAGATAAAGATACTGAAGGTAAGTTTACAAAAAATGCACAAGGGAGAGAGGGTATTTGCCTTGAAGGTGTATATGAATTGGGGAAAGGATTCCTTAGACAAAGAGCATGTTCAGAGGCGCAAGGGAGAGAGGGTATTTGCCTTGAAGGTGTATATGAATTTGGGATAGGATTCCTTAGACAAAGAGCTTCATATACAGCCTCATATTGTATGTACCATATGGTAAATACAGGACAAGCCAGTAGCCAGCTTTTGTCAAGGGCGGGGGGGGGGGCAGTTTTTGCAAATTCCAAGGGGGTTATAAGCTGGCCCGAAGTCACTTGCAAGCACTCAAAATGGTGAAAAGCTGCATGATTTTAAAGAATTTTTGGCCCTGGCTACGAGCCTACAATGTTGATAAAGCTCAGAGTTCATACTGTTTGTATTTAACCTTGATAAAGTTAACTCCTGGATTGAAACCAGCATGAGATGGGATCAGACTTGGAGCTATATTCATGTACTAGTGAAAGCTAAATAGATCATGTTAATTTGAAATTTATACAAAGATCTCACCAGTGCAGTGTTACATGATATATTAACATACACGAATACCAGTAAGTGCATTATCTATTTTGATCAATATTATGTCTGTTGCAGGAACTCTCCAGTCTTCATCATGATAATGTGGTTGCCCTGTTGGACTGTAAGGTATGTAGGAAATCAGCCCAAAGTAGAAGTTGTATTCTCTGGAGCAATTTGCTCAATGCAACCAAGTCTCCTTCATTCTTTCTTGTTTTAATATTCATGCGCATTTCCTCAATACAATGAACAGCATCATATAAAATCAAGTGAAAAAATTTATGCACCAAATGATGCAAAAATTGTCATACTCTTCATTTTAAACACATATGGTCATTGCCCGGTGAAATTGATTCTTGGGAATGTTTGAATTTTGGATCTGCAAAAATGAATTAACAAACTTCTAAGTAAAGAAGACATAGGACCCTTTTGTGAATAGTTACTGGAAAATATCCAAGTGAAAAACGTCTAATTTAGGAGGTTCTGTCTGTGACATGTCTACTCAAGTACAACTTTTACAAAACTGTTCTTTGGTCTTAATGCAAGATATCTCATCTACATGTATGTATATGAGCCTGTTATGCCATATTAACACTGAAATTACCCTTCCCCTGTTGGATTGCTACAATTGCAATGTTAATCATTCAAAGATGCTTGGACCAGTAGTCCAGTGATTTTCTGAACCCTCCCTAATGTGGTGAGATATGTGGTGGGTCATAAGGGCTCGAATGATCAAGATTAGACCAGGATATTGAAATCCTGAATATATGTCTTGAATGCCAAAGCAACATTAGTTTTAGAGTTTGGGTTTAAAGCAAACACTCACAAAAAGCCACAATTCATTAGCAATACAAACAATAGTAAATCAAAATGTATGGAGCAATTGTTCCCGATACATATGAACATGCATTAGAAGAGTCTAGAATATAAATGCTTAAACAAAAAGTTTAAGAGCATGAAGCAAGGCTATATTTCATTTATTTCCTCCATGATAGGGTCATGATAAAAGTCTAGAAATAATTCATGTCTAATAAAAATAGGATTTTGTCCTGATAAACAAAGGAAATTTGTAAACAGGCACTCAATGCCATATATTCCTGTCAGTTTATGTTAATGAGTTCTATTTTTAGACACAAAGGCACTAAATAATATCTGTTTTTTAAATAACTCATTCAGTACAATACTCATTCATTGTTTATTTAGGAAACCAAAGGTTTTTAAAAGCTCAGTTTTTAAAAGTCTGTATATTCTTCCTGAATTCTGTTGAAGGAAAAGATATAGTTAACACAAAGGCACTTAAGTACATGTCCTTTATGTATATCCTTGATGTTTTTAAGACTCTGATTGACGTTGACAGGGTGGAGTTGAAATGAATTAAACCACTTCAACTAATTTGTCATCACTTAAATGTGATGATGATATCACTAATTTTCCTGATCTATTAATTAATTAATTCTTTTTTTTGTGGCCAAATCAGAGTTCATATTGTCAATAGAATGTACTCCATATGTTTTAAACGCTAAATAAATGCAGGGCAAAAGCTGAATAAAATGGTGGTACCATTGTTTTTTATTATATACCCAATATGTAACACTAATCCTGATTGGTCAATACCTAGTCACGTGTTCCGAAATAGATTTACTATTTCCCTCGGAAAGTTAATTCCCTCAAATGTGACGTCAGCGGGAATATACATTTGAACTATTGCCCGCTGACGTCACAATTGCAACTTCTATTACCCTTGGAAACGTCTGCGCATCATCACTGCGCAGACGAAAAACAGAAAAATGGAGGATGAGCACAAACACAAATCAACTCCGTTCAACATGACAGACGTGCGTGAACGATACAATATAAGCAACGTGTATAAAGTTCCCTAAGCTCAATACGTCTGTGTAATTTCAAGTGTTATGATAATCTATTCCGCGTGTTAAACGCGATTGAATTTGTCAAGCGAGAGTCTCAGAGGCAAAAATTTCTGTTGAGCATCTGATGACGTCACAGCTCATAATGCTAACAATGGACCCGGCACCCGGGGAGGGGGCTTTCTAAGCCTTTTTGGCCTTCGCAGAGGAAACGGAACACGAGTCAGTATAGGGTATATAATAAAACAAATAGTGACTGCCTAATTTCGAGCAATAGTGTAAATGATTTCCCCTTGGGAATATCCTCTACAATGTACTATTCCCTCAGCCCGCGGCTTCGGGAATAGTACATTGTAGAGGATATTGCCTCGGGGAAATAATTTACACTATTGCCCTCAATGGCAGTCACTATTTGTATAATATTGCCCCATGGAGAACATTTGCAGTTAATCAGTATGTTAAAGAATAGGCTTTAACCTTGAAACAGTATGTGAAAGAATAGGCTTTAACCTTGAATTACTTTTGCACCTGTTCCATTCTAAAATTAGAGCAAAGAATCAAGAGATCTAATTAGTCTCAAGTGACATTTTTCATTATCGTCTATAGGTTATTGTTTATTTGAAGAAAAGACCATTGGGGAATTTTTATCTGGAATTTGAATAGTAGGAGAGATGTAAGTGAAACATCTGTGACAAGGGGGGGGGGGGTGGTTATTTGACTACAAAGGTCAAACCTTTGTCTTGGGGTGAGTCTCACTTCATTGTTCTCCAGTCAATCTTGATCTTGTAAGAATGTACTGGTTTAACAGTACATGCTCCAATCAGCTAGAATTAATTTTGATTAATTCTTCTTTTCTTCAAATTCAGTATATTGATTAACAATCAAATAGCAATAAAATATGACATTAGTCTTCATTTCTACCAAACTGGATATTGGACAAATCAAAAGTTAAATACATGTTAATAATTAATGAAGCTTTATATATTTGCAAAATTGACACCATCTGCTGGTTGTTGTTGTGATTTGTTTCATTTCAGTTTAAACCTTAATTGATTGATTGTTTGCAAGTTATTCATCTGATGTCATGCAACATCATTTTAGAGTAATTAATAGTAATTATCACAGTAGAACCATCTGGGTCTATTTATGTGGTATTATATTCATATCATAATCTAAAAAGCGAAACTTTTATAGACAATCCAAGAGTAAATCTATAGAGGGAGCTGGGTGGGGGAGGGAGTTACTGAATGTTAGCTTTCAACAGTCCTTTGTCCTTGCAGCCAATGCATTGTAATTCTATTATTCTTTTGTAGAATATCTACAGTATTGTTAAAGCTTTGTTGAACCCTATAGTGCAATTGAACATGTGTTCAGGGAGTGATTTCAATATCAAGGACCTGAAACTAGCAAAGCCTTGAAATACCAGCAAGATTTGAGTATCCCCAAAAATAGATATTTAATAGCGCCCAGAATGTAAAATTCTGGTACAGCGACATACTCCAGACCAAGTTAGTTTTAAATTATATCAAGTATAAATTATCCTTCAAGGGAAGGCATTTACAATTTATGATATGGCCTGGAACAATTTATTCCAGTGTTATTCCAATCTACATGCACAAATGCATGTAAAATGTAAAATAATCTAATTCTAGTAATTTCTGTGTTCAAGGTTAATTTATGGATTTATAGGCTGATGTGCCCTGGGTTATTTTATACCCTGTTTTTCTTTACTAGCCTTTGATGAACGGAAATTTCATCATCCTTTTACTGGTATATTTTTAGTGGTTTTGATTTGACTTTTGACCCCAGAGGAGCATTTCATCATTCTGTCATCTATAGATTATTTGTTATTAGTACTTATGTATTTAGAAGCACTTTGACAGTACTGAAGTCAACCCTAGGCTTGCATGATTTCCCACCTCTCCTTTGTGTTTCTTCTTTTAATGTTACTGTTCATTGTTCACACTATTTTGATTATTATTCATTTCTCGAAGTCTCAATTCTGTTAGCCACCCAGTGGCTGCCAGAAAATGCAAGGTTTAATTCTGTACTTCGACAGACTTAAATCAAAATAGAAAAAGCAAGCAGTAATTTTGTTCAGTAACATTCATTTGACCATTTTAGTACTGTTCATTTGTAATTAAGTTATACAAATATTATGCTATTGATTCCTGAATCTGCATTCAATCTGTAGGTCAATCACATCCTATAAGTAGGAGGAAATCATGATAAACAAGTGTATTGACGTATTGTTTGCTTTCTTTCATCAGAAAATCAGTTGCTAAATATAAATCTAACAGATGTTGATTTTCATTTTGCCAGCCTAGAATGTGAGTGGGAATGCAAGGAAGCATTGAATTGAAAGATAAAAATATTATCAAAGCAGTAAAAAAACAAAACATAAAGGACTGGTGTGGAAAATTTTTTGATTTTCCCCCCAAAAAATTAAAGAATGTCAGCTTGACAAAATAGCTCAAGATTATTGACCTTAGATACACATTTGTTTATATTCTTTGGATTATCTAAAATAACTTGGAATTATTTCAAGGTATCATGTTTATTGACTTGCTACTATCTGAACTGAGTTGGAATCAGTTCAAATCTAAACTGAAAATCCTTTGTGTCATTTATCACAGTGTCCTTAAAAATTTATTTGGGGTCACATTTAATTTCCACAGTAAATAAGCTTCATAATAACAAATAGTATTGACCGGATTGGAATGTAACCTAGAGTATATAACCCGTAACCTGCTAAGGACATTGCTTAAATTTGCTTGTGATTACTACAGCAGTTCTCTGTTACTGGCACAGTGATATAAACAGGAATAAAAATATGACCTTAAAGGGGAATTGACTTATGTAAGGTTGATCAAAAATCGGCAACCTATCATGGTAACCTATTCAAGCACACACCCTTTTCCCCACACTCTACCAGTGAAAGATTATGTTATGATATTGGGGTTGATAAGATATAACAAACAACAGTTACATACATGAGAAAAATGAAATCTTATATTAGGGGTTATATCCAAATGTTGTCAGTAATTTAAAAATGAAGTTAAATTGTTTTAGTTTAACACCATCCAATATTTCCTGAAATATAAAAATGTTAATAAAGTTGAAAACATGATTGCCACAATTTACCATATTGACATTCTGTCCATTGCCCAATAGCAACTCACATTTGCCAAGCTCATTGCCAAGAATGAAGTGATCATGGGTATTCACCATATGGGCATTCTGTCCATTGCCCAATAGCAACTCACTTTTGCCAAGCTCATTGCCAAGAATGAAGTGATCATGGGTATTCACCATATGGGCATTCTGTCCATTGCCCAATAGCAACTCACTTTTGCCAAGCTCATTGCCAAGAATGAAGTGATCATGGGTATTCACCATATGGGCATTCTGTCCATTGCCCAATAGCAACTCACTTTTGCCAAGCTCATTGCCAAGAATGAAGTGATCATGGGTATTCACCATATGGGCATTCTGTCCATTGCCCAATGGCAACTCACTTTTGCCAAGCTCAACCTCCCTCCCCCATAATAGTTCTAATTTTTCCACAAATGTTTATAGTTGGACACAATCCCATTCTATAAGCTCAGGTACAATAACAAAGCAGTAAAAGTACAAGTAACAATCTGATAAGAAGCTGGTATTAAGTACAATTTAAAAATAACGTTTTTGTAATTTTTTATTGAGCACTTAACTGATAATGACAAATCATTGATATGGAATTTTTGGGGGTAATAGAATTTACATATGCATGTAGTATGTGTATTTTACTAAGAATCTGTATGATGAAATGAAATTCAATGCACGGTATAATTTATGCTTATTTCTGGTAAAAGTCGATTGAAATTGAAGTCATCAATGCTATAATTGAGACTTACAAAATTAAACTTATAATTGACCTCAGTGCATGTGAAGATTACATGCGCCACAGATGTACCTGCACGTCCTGTAAATAGGACCTTAACATATCAGATATGATAAGAACGTCATGATAATATTTACAATAATTTGGCTATTTTTAAGCTATGCGTTCTGTCTATTGCAATATGGTCATTCACATGGTTTGAACATGATCACTGAGTGCTAGCAGCCTGCTGCTTAAATCCTAGGAATTCCCATTTTCAAGGCTTTCATCCACAATTGAAGTACAATAGGATTTATTTAATAACATTTTAATGTTTATAAAGAGTTAACTAAATGTGAAATAAACTAAAGAATTCCCGTGTGATGCATAACTTAATGTGTTAAAAAACTGTCAAATGGAACATTGATTTCTCATATGGCCATATTGACGAAATAAACCTCTACAAAAAGAACACCTCCCTTAAGTAGAACACATTTTGAGGTTCCAGATTTTGCATTTACATGTAGTGACTGTGTGCATTAAAAAATAATTATGTAGTTTCCAAAATATGAGTTGGAGACAAATAGATGGGGAGAAAAGTAATGAAAAGTATGATATGTAATAATCCAGTGAATATCAAGGGTTTAACCTTAATTGGTATTTCATTGATTTTTTTATTGTGCTATGTTTTGAATCAAGGTTATCATATGTTTTGTAATTTAGTATCAGCTGATGGTGTGAGTTATTCATAATATTGTTTTGGAATTGTGCCAGGGAATACTGCATCATTGCTATGTTTATATTAGGCTACTGAGCATATGATATTTCTTGTATTTCTTACATTTAAGTTTTATCTTACATACGATATCTCATAGAGGAAACCAACACTGGTATTGAGTAACTGTATTATATAATTAGACTGTAGTTATGTTTTGGAATTTTTTTTTCCAATTCCAAAAATAAAAAATTCCAAGAAATAGTCTTAAATTAACACCCCTTTATCAACTTCAATGTCCAGTTAATGAGAAAGATGCTTAACTAAAATAAATATTTCTTAAAAACAATTATACATAAATTCATATGAGACCATTGTAAAATGCATACCAACAATGCACCCTCATATAATAACCAACTAATACCATGGATAAACATTCAACATTGATAAAAATGAATGGGATATATTATGAAGGCCATTTGTTGATATCATGGCCTGTAATTGACATGGACTGTTTTTGAACCATGTACTTTAACTTGTGTTATTTCAGTGAATGAACCCAGTGTATACTATGCTGAACTTGAACCAACTCAAGGATAGATTTCATAACATTGAGATATAAAAGTACATTCAAGTGGAGTCCCCTTACTAAATATCATTAATCAAAGGAGGAGAATGTATCCTGATTAAAGCTTCTTCATTTTTTAAACTCATTTTTTCAGAAAAGTCAAATCTCATTTTTGAGCATATAAATAAAATATTTGTATAAAAATTATATCTTCCTTCAGTATTCGAAAAGTTGATTTTCGTGGTAAGAATTTATGAAATCATTTTTTAATCAAGAATGCTTGTAACAGTGGAATTTAAGATTTATTTTCTATATTTCCAGGAAACCACCAACCATGTATACCTTGTCATGGAGGTGAGTATAATTAAAGAAATAATATTTGATAGCAATTAATTATTTATAGGCGTGAGCGTTAATTAATCTTCTCCATCAATAAGAAGAAAATGTTCATCCTTAATGGGTTTATATGCAGATCTCCTAAAATCAAAATAAAACGTAACTTCAACAAGATTTTAAAGCTTTATAGCAAAGCCTCTATTAGCTTTAGACTGTGATTTATGATTGATGAAGTAAAAAGCCATCTGATATAAATAAATTGCATGCTTTGTCTGTTATTCCAGTACTGCAATGGTGGGGACTTGGCAGATTATCTGCAAGGTAAGCCTGATACAAAAATTTACCGAACATTCCACACATTGATTTTCAGTATAAATACCATTGATTTATCATCATTTGGCTCAATTTAGTGCAACTGTTTTCAACCATTTCTTAAATGATGACTCTTAGTAAGATTTTCATAATGATATTGATCAATCCCCATTCATTGGTCATTCATCATTCTAATTCTTGGGAGTCTCTCTATGTCTGAAATGCTTGAGACCAGGGAGAGGGACTTCTAGTAACCATAGAGATTGTGTAGGCTGGGGATTCCACAATGATCAATCCTACATTTAATTAGAGTGAAATCTCAATTTATTGCAATACTTGAAAAGTGTGATTTAGAATTGATGCAATAATCAATGCCACCCAACCAACATACTGTTTTGTGAATCATGACTATATGTGACATTTGTAATTCTTACAATTATTAATTGTCTCTTATTGTATCTTATTACATGTGTCTAATCTTATACAATCATTGCATGTTTATAATGAAGTATTTTGTATGTTTCAGTTAAAGGGACGCTTAGTGAGGATACAATCTCTCTATTTCTCAAACAAATTGGTGAGTTGCTTCTACCCTGTTGAAGTTGTTCCTGGTGCCTATGAATTACAACATAACAGTTATGTTGTAATTCATGGGCACTAGGAATCATTTTGATGTTATCTTGTAATTCATGGGCACCAGGAATCATTTTGATGTCACCCAAGAATTGATCACATTTTGTTTAAGCCACTGTTTCAGCATTGAGTCTGTAACAAATTGTTACAATTATTGCAACCAGGTGGTTACAGTTTAGCATGTTGTTCTCTTCTTGGAGACAAACATTTAATATCATTAATATCTGAAATAATAGATCAATCGAGTCCATTTTGACATATCTTAAATTATGTCAAACTACTTTAGTTTAAATTGATCACAAGACAGATGTTTTTAAATCAATCAAAACTGTAGAACCCGTATAATTGAAACATCCTTGGTTTCACTAAATGAATATGTTTTAAAGCAATATGAGAATTCTTCAGTATCTTAGGCTATCCTTGCCCAAATGTAACTTATATAAAAATGTGAAGCTTTTCTGTTTAGCTGGTGCTATGAAGGCGCTGACCTCGAAAGGAATCGTCCATCGGGACTTGAAGCCACAAAATATTTTGCTGACTCACAGTGGCAAACACAACCCACCACCCAACAAGATGAAGTTGAAAATAGGTAAATAATAAGTGCCTACTAAGGGACTATTTAAAAAAAGAAAAATGCCGACCATTTTTGAGATGAAAATATGATGGTAATAAAAATAAAAATGAACATGTCTACTTGCTGTCTTCACATTTATCAATTTCTAAAACTTATTTGAAGTATTTATACTTTCTTGCATTTCTATATAATTTTTATTAGCTTGTGAACATTTTGCATTTTCCCATTAATTTGTACTCAACTACCTTTCAATTGTTCAAGTTCAAATTTCATAGCATTGTTAATGAAAACAATCTTTGATTTTATCATATACACAATTTTTTTGTTTGTCATTTCATAATTTTTTTCAATATGTCAGTACATAAATCATATTTTTTTCTTTGTATTTCAGCTGACTTTGGGTTTGCAAGATTTCTTCAAGATGGGGTAATGGCTGCAACTCTGTGTGGATCTCCCATGTATATGGTACGCGTCTTATCCCATGTCTATCTTAATAATGTGCAAATTTCACTCTGAAATATCCACAACTGGAACTCCACAATAATTGGACATTTTCCCTTACTTATTGTGTAATTCTCTCTCTCTCTAATTCTTGGAGATGACCTCCTTTGTGAACAGTAAATAGTTTTTAGAAGTGTTCCATTCAACTGGTTCAGTTGATTAATTCAGATCCAGTTGGGCTATAAATGCATTTTCCTATAAAAAGGTTGCTATATTAGTAGAAGTCCTGGATAATGTTAAAATTTGTGTAATATTTCGATGTTATTTTTGATTTTAATCCAATGACAAATGATGTTATTGTAATCTGATGTGATGCAATGTTTTTTGTAATCATATTTAAGTTATTAGGATCAATATCAGGTCATAAAACTGATAAAAATGATATTATTTAATGCTTATTTTTATTACAGGCGCCAGAGGTAATTATGTCCATTGCATATGATGCCAAGGCTGATCTGTGGAGTATAGGAACTATATTGTATTTTACCTTCGTTATAGGCACCAGAGGTAATTATGTCCATTGCATATGATGCCAAGGCTGATCTGTGGAGTATAGGAACTATAGTGTTCCAGTGTTTGACAGGCAAAGCACCCTTCCAAGCACAAACCCCCCAACAGTTGAAACATTTCTATGAGAAAAACTCAAACCTATCGCCAAAGTAAGTTCACCTTTGATATAAATGTTTTAAGCTCTTATATTCCTGATTTCACTGTCTGCTTCACGAAGCTCATGTAAGACTGTATTGAGAACTATTTTACATAATCTTCAATTACCCGGGTGTTTATTACTATGTGTTCAGATTGATGATTTTTTTTATCCAGTTTCATACTTTTAATTTCTTCCTTTATTGTATGACTTGTGAAGGTACCGAGATAAACCTGGTCGCAAAATTTATTTCATCATGCGATGTAACTTAAACAAAGCCAGTTTATCAATAATATGTCATGACCCTTGGTAGTCTTAACGGACACTACTTAGTATAATCTACTGTACTAAAGCTAGTAATATTTAGACTATGACCATCTATATTCTTTGTCATGTGTCTAGTAGCCACATATATATACTAGTATGTATTTATTCACATATACTAGTGGCATTACTACGGATGTTGGGAGGTCCTCCATCTATCTAAGTAATATATGGAGGACTTCCCACCATCCGTGGGCATTACACATTTATATTTCATTTTTATACTTAAGTAGTTTGTAGTTAGTTGTATGCTTTGTATATGACCCCTGATGGGGATTGAAATACAATAAAGCTAATAAATTTGAAATTTGAAATTTTGCTTAACTTGTTGTATGTGGACCAGAGTTGACCACTTGAATGCTTAAGACTAATCTTAATACATATATACTTTATATATTTCAGCATCCCAAGCAGTACATCCCCAGAGCTTAAAGACCTCCTGTTGAAACTTCTTAAGAGGAATGCTAGAGATCGCCTTGATTTTGGTAAGACCTTGTCAGATAATGTTCATCCTCTTCTGTGTAGAATATATGCTGTACGAGGGTTGTCCCAGAAGTAATGCTATAGAGCATATAGTGCATTACTTCTGGGACAGCCCTCGTAATGTTGTAAAAAGTGACCTTTAAATCCATTTGAGATCTTTGGAATTGCTAAAATACAACTGTATGGACATAATATGTTTCATACATTAGGAAAGGCCAATAATAAATAACCCACCATTAAATAAATATTAAGGCATTGTGGGAAGTACACATATAACAGGTGAGGATTTATTTAAATTTATTGCCATCATAGACCATATTCACTGTTTCTTTCAGTAGGTATGTCATTGTATTATATGTATGTCATTGTATTATATATTTACTATTAGTGTTTTCATGATTTCCAGATGAGTTCTTCAAGCATCCATTCTTAAACAAGTCACCAGTCAGCAGTAAAACATGTAAGCATTCCTACTATTCAACTGGTATATTGTAAATTGCTTAAATGTGGCACTCTTTAATTTGTTGATTCTCAAAATCTGTACAAGATCACAAAAATCTGTAACCACATGTAGCAATGTAATACATTGAAGACTATCAATTTCGATGGATATATATGATAAACCATAAATCTACCAAACAGTATTCTCACAATGGAAAACGTTAAGTTAAATTGACATTTGAAAGGTTTATAAAATTCAGCCGATTTACAGTACTTTACATACAGGCTACAGCACTAAGATTGTGAAAGTAATCCAATAATTGCAATGAAAATGCATTATAAACATTACAATGTTATGATGACATTTAAAGGTTACTTTATAGAGCACTTTTATCCTACAAGGTGAACCATCTATTTTTATTCCAACAATAACCATAAATTAAAATGAATCTTCTGGATATGAATGCGTACATGCACTCTGACATTTGTCGACTTCAAATATTTTGATGGATTTAAGTAAGTGAGGCGCATTCATGAGGAATGAATTAACGACTCACATTGAGATAATTCTGTATAAAAAGCCTGGGTAGAAATGTTAAGATTACCAGGTTTCATGAGGAAAGGACTAGAATGACCTTGCTTTGATGACATTGTATCAGTGAAGTGTATTAAAAGTGAAATAAGATATGAGAACACCTCTGATGGAATCCCCTATTAGGCCTTCCTTTTGAGATCTCAAAGGGGACACTGGTAAAGACACAACCTTGAAAATGACCATTTAGAGTGGTACTTGTGTGTATAAAGCTAAACAAATAAAAAATAGAAAGAAATTGTGTTGTGAAATCACTTTGACTGAGTAGACCAAAGGGGAATCTATGAAAGACAGTATTGGCCCTGAGACTAAGCGATTTGGACTTGTGTATATAAAACTTCTCTCCATTTCAGCGTCTCCAGTGCCTGTTCCATTGCGCTCTCGTAATGCAAGCAATTCTTCAGATTCTCCCAGTGTTAAAACTCTTACAGGGTCTCCTCTCTCAGAGAATCTTCAGCCATCTCACTCTGTAAGTATTTCTAATTGGTCAGGTATTCTGTTATGTTAAATATGATTGGTCAGTTATTCTGTTATCTTAAACATGATTGGTCAATTATTCTGTCATCATAAACAACTTAGATTTCCTAAAAGGAGCAGTCTTCGTCTCATGTAAGCCCCGTGCTGCATATAAAATGAGAAGAAATCTCGGATATGAGCTAATATTTATAATCCAGCTCCATTATAAACTTTCAGAGTCCAAGCCTACGTAAAGCAGTGTTAGGGTTAAGGGAAGGGAGCCAATCCCCAAAGGAGACATCAGGGTTCCTGCATGTAAAACGCAATAACAGCATTCCATCTTCTCCCAAAGATACAGAAGAGGTTTGTATAGTTTATTAAACATTACCTCAGATATTTTTAAGGCACTTTCAAATTAAATTTCTATTGAGCAGGTGAATGGTCTTCCATATCTCTTTCTATCTGTCTTTCAAAATTGAATTAAATGAACTATTTATGTTCTGGTATTATATAACAAATACATCAATATCTTGAATTTATTTTTGTTATTTATTTCTTGTATTCATTTGATCATACCATACTGGGCATGTATAAGTGATTATTTGTGTTATACTTTTAGGACTATGTGCTAGTCCCTGAAAACTTACCCACTAATATATCCCCTGAAGGTAGAAGAAAGAGTCCCATATCATTTGCTGCAATATTCAGGTAAGGGGCTTCCAGTTGTAACCCAGGGGTTCCCATATGTGACTTTATTGATCTTCAATTTTTCAAAAAGCAACAATAATCAAATGAATTAATTGTATATATTATAAGTAAAATATGAATATATTCTCTCATATGAGGCAATATATATACAAAATTGAATAATAGTGAGCTATTTTCTTCATGTGGCATTTCGTTTTTTTCAGTGACAATCATTCTGGGTACATCCCACCCCAGAAAACAGTGCGCGTAAACTCTGGCGATGTCTCTAGTCCTACGCGTCCCAGCTCCCTGCCTGTGCAGAGCCCCAAAGGATCTCCGGGTAGCCAGCCAATTCCTGTTCCTTCACATAGAGTGCAAGTTTCTAGATCCCCAAAAGCTTCTAGATCCCCAGTTTTTGGGAAGAGCCCGTCAACACCTGCTATGAAAGTTGTAAGTAGATATAAGTCTTATTTTCATTAAATTCATGTCTGAAAGTCAGCTTGAATATGAAATCATTTAACACCTGAAATCTTAAAAAGATGGCAGCTTACTTGAACAACATCATTTTCGTGTGTTTTGCTCAACATGGAAAGTATATCATATTAAGAGAGAGATTATCTGGCAAGGAGTATCCTTTTAAAAAAACTGTGTATCCTACCATTTTTTTTATTTTCCATTGAAACACCCAAGTACATGAAAGTTACTACATTAAATTAGAATTTACAATCTTTAACTAACTACCATGTAATTTACTACATATTCTCAAATATACACTCGCTGTGATTGCAACCTTCATGAGGTTTGATAAAATTTTGTTAAACTTTTCAATTTCCTGTTTTAGGGCAACATGTCACCCAAATCACCGAACCAGTGTCTGCCACGTCAGTCTTCTGAGTCTCGTCTGTCAACAGGAAGTACTGCATCGGGGGTGGGTTCCATGACGCCCCCATCTGTCAGCTTTACTGTTGGCACGCCCCCTAGTGGTAGCTGGAAGCGACAGAGCACTCCACCATCTATGAGACGTCAGAGTAGCACAACGCCACCTAGTGAGTCACCACTTAGAAGTAATGGGTCACCACATAGAAGTAATGGGTCACCACATAGAACAAGACATGGTGAGGGCTTTTTTCAACATTCATCAAAAATGGAATCTAAATGTTAATTTATATTTACAGATTTTTGCATATTTTCAATACATTGTGCTGTTATTTGCTACAAAAACTTTTCATCTAATCCTCAAAATATACAAAATGTAAATGAGTTGATTTTTTGTAAAATAGTTGTTTTTTCTAGTGTTTTTTGCAATTTAATAATCAAAATCATTTCTGTGAAAGTATAATCTGTCCAGATTAGAGATTTTGTAACCTCAATCATCTTGATCTATTTTAGAAATGTCAAGCCCAAAGCCCCTTATGGTGACGTGCTCCAATGCTGGGAACCCTTTGCCCACAATAGCTGGGTCACCTAATAAACTCGTTCATAGACTTAGCTTCCCGGATGTATCAGGTGTTAGCCCCACTCAGCCACTTCAAGTCCCCTTTGGGGGTGCGAGAAATGTCACATGTCCCGATGTTGGAGGAATGGCCAACTTTGGTATGTTCTATTAATTGTTTGATTCACATGGGTCATACTGTTTAATGGTACTCATTAATATCCAAAAATGGTAGTCATCTTTCTACATGTAAATGACAGTACATTTATAATCATCAGCCATACGTATTTGTTTGTTTTCATTGGCAAATGGATTTATTTTCGTTGTGATTAAGAAAGTGTAAAAATTAAATCTGTGGAAAACTATAGCATCAACAGAAAAAGATGGCCATCATTTGACCCATGTTGGGTAGATAAGTATTAATATAAAATGCTATATGTACTGGTGTTGGCGTTATTTAGGTATAGGTTATTAAACCAGGTAGTTTATTTGGACTACAATTTCATTCCAACTAGTTTTGCACAGTGCCCAATTGATAATGCTGGGGAGATATTTGTTGACCCAATTGATATTGAGAGGATACAAAGCATTCACATGGTTTGTGGATTGACTAATAGGTAGTCATGCCTCCTACTGGGGCCCCTATATGTAAGACTATATTTTGTATATTAGGTGAAGGTGTTAGGGGTAACGGTAACCATGGTAATGGTAACCATGGTAATGGTCACCATGGTAATGGGAACAGGAATGTTATGTTACGTGCCAACACAGAACCAGTGTCACTCACCCAACATCCTGCGTTGCGAGCACAGGCCGGTGGTATGTAGATATAGCTTGCTTATCTGTTATGGGGCATTTCTATTAAAGACTTCATTAACTTTCCACAGTGTGTTTGAAATAGAATAGGAAGCTACCAAATAGCCTTAAATTCTTTTGGATTAGAATATAAATATTTCCTATGAAATGGCTTAAGAGAGTGAGCCATCTATTTTATATTACATGTAAATGGCTGAGTCGAATATCATCCCTCAATTTTCCAATCTTACTTGATCCATTTGAAATATCATGTTTATAGAAATCATATAATATTTTATGCTGATATTATTTACTCTTTTAAGATGTAAGGTTATTGCATATTTTAGGAATGTGTGTGACCTTTATATATATTTATTATATCTAATTTACAGCACTCCCTGCCCAACTGACATACAGCCCCCCTGCAACATTCATGGTGCCCTATAGCACCCCTCCAACTGATACAAGGGAACGAAGGCCCTCTGTTGCGGGTCGTGTTAGAACTGAATCTATGGGTAAGGAAAAGCAGAAGTTATTAATACATTATGGTACATTCAAATATGACAATTGGACAGAATGCCAGTGCAAATGCACTCATTGGACAGAATGTCAGTGCAAATGCACTCATTGGACAGAATGTCAGTGCAAATGCACTCATTGGACAGAATGTCAGTGCAAATGCACTCATTGGACAGAATGTCAGTGCAAATGCACTTACCTTTGGTTCATCCTTTGAACGACATTCTGTCCAACTTGTACTGAATTTCACCATATTGAATGACCTATCATTATTTATTCCTTAGTTATATATTTTCTGAAGAATGAAGGTTGTCCGAGTTAAACAAACTACAGTACTGCAAAATTGATCATGTTATAGAATAAAGTAATTGAAGAATGAATGCAATACAAATAAGATGCCCTTATTAGTATTAATGTGATGATTTATTTTTGATTGACAGGTAGTCATCATAGTAATGAAACCCCGCCTACCTCATTAACATATGCCCAGTCACCTCCTAATATGGAAGGCCCTGTGGCATTCTCAGCCCCTGAACTCGCAGAAGAAATTCTCATGGACGTAAGTCAAGTTTTCTTATTCAGAAAAAAGAAACATTCACCCAATGGCGTACTTTGTCAGCTTAGCTTGGTCATTCAATAAAGCTTCAAATGATATGTCAAATTAAACACTGTCAACAACAGTTCAAATAGTTCACAAATGAGAATTATATTATATGCTGTCAAACAATGTATATTCTGAGGGCAGGCCCTTAGCCAGGATTTGCCAAGGGGGGTTCACTTTTTGTGAAAAACTGCATGACTTTGAAAGAATTTTTGGCCAGGGGGGGTTTGCTCGAACCCCCCTGGCTATGGGCCTGGAGGGTGTGTCAAAAGGTTTACGGCCGAATGGAGGTAAATTGAATCATGTTTTTTTCTGATTTATTTTTGCAGCCAGAACATAATGAGACAATGTCCAAGCTGAACTTCATTGTGGCATTGGTTGATTGCATCATCGAACTTGCCCAATCTAGGAGTACACCATTGACCCAGTCAGTCCAGTCTAAACCAGTAAGACAATTATTTCATCCCAAGTTAAATGACTGGATCTCCCCTTTTCCCCGTTCGTTTTACCTCAAAACCTTAAGAAATAAATCAAATATGCATATAGCAGCCAACAGATTCATCAAAAGTAATTCTGGATATTGGAAAAATTGCCATGCATAGTACCATATCTAGTACTATGCAATTGATCATAAATGATATTTAGACTTTTATATTGTTCTATTAAGTGAACATGTCAACAATTCTTTGTAATTATTGTTGAATTTTTGCTATCATGTACAGGGTGTTCATGATTCATGTCACTATTTCTACAGGGTGAGACAGTGTCTTGGAGCAGTGAGGGAGAACGACGTGTTGAGCAATTAGTTCTCTATGTACGTGTGCTACAACTCTTGTCTTCATCTCTACAACTTGCCAAACAACAAATCAAAGCACGAAGACTCCAAACATCGACATCACTCAAGACAGGTTGGCCTTGTTAACATATACCCTTCACAAGAATTCCACTTATTCACTCTTCAAATAAGAGATGATTCTATGATCTTGTCTTTAGCCAATCAGAGTGTGTAGTTAGACAACCACGAGATCACATTCTGCTTATAAATAGCTGACGTTTTAAATCAGAAATTTTCAAGGAATTAAAATTAAATGATGTCTTGCATTGTTGGATGTCTGTCCAAGGGCGAACGTAATACCCGGAATGTTCCTCGTTCGCAATTTCAATGTATAAAAAAAGTCTGTCTTCATATTTTAAAGTTTATTTAAAATATATCATAAATGATAAATATAATTGTTAACTTTCTTACAGTTGTCAAGGAGATGAGTGAGAAATATCACACCTGTTTAAAAATGTGCAAGTCATTACACAACAAGGGAGTAACTCAAGTTGATGGAATGGACCCGGAAAGTCTGGCTGTTACAGCTGATAAACTCATTTATAACTATGCTATCGAAATGGTAAGTTATCTTTGTTGTATCATGGAATAAATTGCTTTAAAATGTTTCATGGAAAAAACTGATATTACACTTGTAGAAAATAAACAGCAACATTGCATTGTGGAATAAATAATCCACCTTTAACACTAAAATTGTATGAAATGTCTAATATTTTTCCTGCATTATGGGCCATACTGTTTTCTGCAACATTAATATTGCATTATGGGCCATACTGTTTTCTGCAACATTAATATTGCATTATGGGCCATACTGTTTTCTGCAACATCAATATTGCATTATGGGCCACATTGTCTTCTGCAACATCAATATTGCATTATGGGCCATATTGTCTTCTGAAACATCAATATTTCATTATGGGCCACATTGTCTTCTGCAACATCAATATTGCATTATGGGCCATATTGTCTTCTGCAACATCAATATTGCATTATGGGCCATATTGTCTTCTGCAACATCATCAATATGGGCCATATTGTCTTCTGCAACATTAATATTGCATTATGGGCCATATTGTCTTCTGCAACACCAATATTGCATTAGGGGCCATATTGTCTTCTGCAACCCTTCATTGCATTGTTGGTCATACTGTCTTCTGCTTTTTTCAGTGCCAGAGTGCAGCTTTGGATGAGATATTTGGCAACCCATCAGAATGTTTCCACCGCTACCAATGTGCTCAGATATTACTACATAGTCTGGCTCAGCAAGCTAGGAATGACAACGACAAAGAACTTCTGAACAAATGTAAGTATGAATGTCTTTCTGTAGTATGTATATGAAAGTGTCAATTGTGGGTATTATCTGATTGTGTACTTAATTCATTACTCTGATATGATTGGCTGTGGATGTTATGAAAAACCCTCGACATCTCCTTTATCTCTATTTTATATTAATTGCTAATGCAAACTATATATTATTCCATAGATAGCATGATAGATATAGGATAACATGTGAAAATAAAAACGGTATTTTTGTAATCAGTGGTAAAATATGATATTTTTGACAAATTTTCACTTAACCATAGCATACGGTTATTTAGCCATGACATACGACGTCGTATGCGATGGTTTATGGATTTTTGCTACTTCAGACTCAAAACGAGGCTAAGTGTCAACATCGCCAGATCGTTTGGAAAATTCGAATTAAATGACTTAATTTCCGATGATTCTGATGATGACTTTAACTATGGAATAAAAAAGAACATGGTTATTGATATCTGCCCGAGCGAGCGTAGCGAGAGAGTGCAGATATCAATAACCATATCAATATCAATATCCATTCGTGGATAAAAATCATATCACTCATAAATCATAGGATATCCTCTATTTATATACAGCATTTCTGGTATCTTGATCATGGTATAATAATAATCACAACATTTGATTTTATTTACATTAGACAGATCTATGATATATCCTATTGCATTATTGGATATATTTCTTTATTTATTCATCACAATTGCATTGTGGGATTTTCTTGCAGACAAAGAGGCAGTAGAGAAAAGACTATACAGTTTACAGGGCCAGGGACTTTATTATTGTGAGAGCTGACAGGATGCAGTATAGGACCGAAAACTCTTAAGGACTCAAAATACTACAGACTTTTGTTACTTTTGCTTTGTTGGTGCTAAATTTTTGGAACATTGGGATTGCTGGGACGGAATGGCCAGATTGTGCTGAACATTTTTTTATTTATTGAAGCAAAACTAATGCAAATGTCTAGATTTTAGAATGTCTAGATTCTCTAGGTTCTCCGGCCTATTAACAGACAAAAGCTTATTCATTCTTTGGTCATGTTAATAGTATGTGAAGTGAATGACATCATATTTTATTGTACATCATATCCTATATAGCAGTTGAACTAATATGCTTTGAAGTGCATGCACTTACGTGAATAGAGGTCTGTCATGTAGATAGAGTCTTGATTGGGAAAATGACCAAGATATTATAGACACTGAAAAGCCTTTCTGCCTACTGCAACATCAATATTGCATTATGGGCCATATTGTCTTCTACAATATCAATATTGCATTATGGGCCATATACTGTCTTCTGCAATATCAATAATGCATTATGGGCCATTTTGTCTTCTGCAATATCAATATTGCATTATGGGCCATATTGTCTTCTGGAACATCAATAATTCATTATGGGCCATTCTGCATTCTACAACATTGATATTGCCTTTTTGGACATGAACTGTCTTCTGCAACATCAATTATATTGCATGATAAGATATGAAGCACCCTAAGAGAAAGGCTTAAGATATATAAAAAATGAAGAGACTGTTGAAAGACCTATTACTATAGGCTCTTATTCCCCTCTCTCATCATTTGCACTCCTGATCTACACCTGCCATATAATCTTATCAGATATTACCTCAGGCCAAGGGTATATTGCTACTTTGGAATATTGATCTCACAAAGCAACTTAATGTGACGTCTCTAGTCATGCTAAGTGTATATGGTACGAGGGGTGATCAATAAGTAATGGACGCTTTTTTTATGCAGATTTCCATTATTTATTGACCCCTTGTTTATGTCATAATGTTAATAACTCCATCAATTGAAATTATGTGTGAACATCATGCCAGTTTACCTCATTTCTTGGTTCTTCCTCTCTGTTTTGTGTTTTAAAGCATGACTACCATGATATCTCTTGATAACTGAGAGTTTCTGTTATATTCAGGAGAATTTGAGAGAAGTTGACCAATCTGGCATGAGAGTACACTAGATGGATTAGAGGTGGATCAGAGGCCTGAGTGTCCAGCTTGTTCTTGTTGTTTAAGATTGGGATAGGATTCATTTGAATTATTGTATTATGGTAATACCTGGATCTATGGGTCATCAAATCTGTCAAAAATAAGAATGATGTTTGTTCAGGAACAAATTGTTAAAATTGGCACTCCAGTTGAATATTTTTGAGTTTTTAATCATGTTAGCCAGCATTGATTCACTAATTAACACTGACAATAGTATTTGAGAAATGGGCCATTTGTTAATCTCAGTTAATTTGAGTGAATGATGTGCTTTTATTTAGTTTAGCTACAAGCCCTTGTGAATCCTACTCCCACTACACACCTGCCCATAAGTAATAATCTGATAAGGGGAGGGGGTAGTTGCTAGACAAGCTTTTATGTTGCTATAGCTACATAGCCGATCTCTAACAGTACCGTACGGCATACTCTTAATGTACCGTATGGTACCTTGAAAACAGACCGTGATTTCAGAGTATGGAATGGGGGTGTACAAGTAGCTTATTGATGGGCTTTGTGTTCATGGGTTTTGTGTTCCATTTTCATGGGTTACATGTTTCTTTTATTAATAGAATAATGTATTAAATAAATATTTTGTTCCAGTTATATGTTGATTTTATATTATTGTTGTTTTTAGAAAGTTTGTCTTAGATACATTATCTTTTAATAGTGGAAAACTTCTAAATTCTTGATATTTTGTTGTACATATAGATATTATTGTATATTAAGCTTATGTATGCAGTATGGGATATGTGTATATTTATATGTTATGTATGAGAAAGATATATTCATGGGATATGAGTTATATTTATGGGAAAATGGTTCATATTCACAGGATATTTCTCTTATATTTATGGATATGAAAAATATGTATGGACTACTTTATGTGCTCTTTATTATCTATTGGTGGATTCAGCGTGCTTTAATGACAAGTATTGCATGAATTTTTGGGTGTGTTGTATGAAAGCTGATTTTAGATATTTATACATTTTCAGTTGTATTATTTGTTTGTTAATATATTATAATAATTGTTGTTTTCAATTATTTGTAAATTATGTACATATGCTACAATGACGTAGATGTATTTGTAAGTTTCATATATTTTAATTATTAAAAGTTATGCATGATATAATTTGACTCAGATGACTGTTTTAACAGTACACAATTACATGGTACAATATGTAGAAGATTGATCTCTTTATATGATACAATTGTACAATATGTAAATATGCTTGCATTGACTTTATTCAGTCTTGTTCATCATGTTATTTACAGAATTTCTACAATGATTTAAGAATTACAGTATTTTGAGTGAAATAGCAAGTAAAAATGGCTGTCAAATTAATCAACACCAACATGGTTTGAACACTGGAGTTTTTTTATTGTCTAATTTTAGATTTCATATCAATTTGTCTTGAGTTATGTAAATTATAATTGCCAAGTTTGAACAATAATGTATGAAATATGAATGCATGTTTGAGAGATGTCTTACAATCCTAGAATGAATTGATCGGACCTAGCATAGGGTATTGTAATTAAATGCTGTACAAACATGTAGAATAAATAGAAGTTGTAAGTGTCGCTTCAAGGCCCTTTCACCCCCTCCTGCTATACACTAACCTCCAAAGATAGTGTAGTACTTCTGCAACATTAATATTGCATTATGGGCCATACTGTCTGCATTCTGCAACATTAATATTGCATTATGGGTCATACTGTTGTCTGCAACATCAATATTGTATTATGGGTCATACTACTAAGGTAGAGGGGTTCCAGAATCCAGATGCAAGACAAGATTTTCTTGAAATAATTAAGGGAAGACATATTATTTTAGTTGAGACAGGATATGATATTCTGGTTTTCTGAGAGATGTGATCCCCATGAGCCAAGCATATTAACATGTGATAATTA